CTATACGTCCACCCGATCCACCATCTTGTTTGTTCCCACACATGGTTTTTAAGTAAATATTTAATGTGAGCATTTTCAAGTTTTAGAAAATCAAGTGGCTCACTATCTGAAATGGAAAGAGGCTGAAAGATCTGTTAGTGGACCCCTAGGAGAGACTGACATGGATTCGGTTTTCAGTAAAGGAACTTAAAAGACTCCCCCTGGTAGCACTGTGGGTTAAGCACTGGACTGCACACGATAAGGTCAGCCCACCAGCCGCTCCACAGGAGAAAGATGAGTCGGTCTGCATCGGTAAAGATTTACAGCGTTGGAAACTCACCAGGGTCAATTCTACTCGGTCTTCTAGGGTTGCTGTGAGTGGGAATCCATTTGGACTCATCGCAACCCTATAAAGGGTTTCAAAACTGCAATCTTCACGAGAGCAGACAGCCTCATCTTTCTTCTGCAGAGGGGCTAGTAGGCATGGATTTGGGCTTTGGTAAGAGAACTTAAAGGATTCTTGGTGGCACTGTGGGATAAGCACTGGGTTGCTAACTATAATGTATTTCTTGTGGGTAAATACCAAGTAGAGAAATGGATGTGTCATAAGGTATTTCTATTTCCAACTTCTGATGAAACACCATATTGCTTTCCAGAGTGGTTGGACCATTTTGCAATCCCACCAATCTGTGGGAGGGTCCCAGTCTCTCCACATCCTCACCAGCATTTATTGTCCTCTACTTTTTTTTAACTTTGCTGTTATTGCTGGTGTGAGATGACATCGTATTGTTGTTTTGATTTGCATCTCTCTGATGGCGAGTGATCCTGAACATTTCTTCATATGTTTGTTGGCTGCCCAGATCTCCTCCTTGGTGAAGTGTCTGTTCATGTCCTGTGCCCATTTTTTAATTGGGTTATTTGTCTTTTTCTTACAGAGGTGTTGTACTTTCCAATATATTTTAGAAATGAGTGCCTTGTCTGATGTGTTGTTGCAAAAGATTTTTTCCCATTCTGTGGGTTCCCTTTTTACTCTTTTGGTGAAGTCTTATGATACACATAAGGTTTTAATTTTTAGTATGTCCCAATCATCTATTTTGTCTACTTTTGTTTGTGTAATCTTCAAAATGTTTGGTGGTCTGTGTATGCCCTGAATTAGAGCCCTCACATTTGTCCCTAATTTTTCATTGATGACCTTCATAATTTTGGGATTCACATTTAGATCTTTAATCCATGTTGAGTTGATTTTTGCATAGGGCATGAGGTAAAGCTCTTATTTCAATCTTTTTCATATCACTTTCCAGTTCTGTCAGCACCATCTGTTAAAGTGACTGTCTCCTCCGCATGCAATGTACCTAGGCACTTTGCCAAAGATCAGTTGACTGTATGTGGATGGGTTAATTTCCGGATCCTCAATTATGTTCCGTCGATCAATGCATCTTTCATTGTACCAGTACCAGGCTGTTTTGACCACTGTAGCCATGTAGTAAATTTTGAAATCCGGGAGAGATGCTTTCAGCCTTGTTTTTCTTTTTAAGCAGCGTTTGCTTATCCTGGGTCTCTTTCCTTTCCATATAAAGTTTGTAATAGTCTTTTCCATCTCTTTGAAGAATGTCATTGGACTCTGGATTGGGATTGCATTATATGTATAAATTGCTTTGGACAGTATTGACATTTTCACAATATTGAGTCTTCCTATCCAGGAACATGGTATGTTCTTCCACTTTTGTAAGTTTTTTTTTTGGTTTCTTGTAGTAGTGCTTTGTAATTTTCTTTGTATAGGTAGTTTGTTTCTCTGGCTACATTTATTCCTAAATATTTCATCCTTTGGGCAGCTATTGTAAATGGTATTGCTTTCCTAATGTCCTTTTCTGTGCTGTCATTGTTACTATAACAATAAATAAGGGAAGGGGGTGGGGGGGAACAGCAACAAAGTTGAGAGCTGAGCCTGGCCATATTCAATAGACCCCCGTGAACCTGGGTGGAGACCTGGATAGCCAGCAGTACAGCATGACCCGGGGACTCCTGGGCCCAGAGGCAGTGACATGGCCACAGAGGACTAGAGTGCAGAGTAAAGTGTCCTGCTGATATCAAGTGAGGGGAGATGCACAAGAACACCCATACTTGCAGATAATACCCATTTGACCTGGATTCGATGGCTGGATGATCAGAACTCGACAAGAAGAAGAAAGAAGAGGGGCAGGGGGCAAGGAGTAACCTGCTACAGTTTGATGAACTTTACCTATATTTATGGATGTAGTAGCTCAAAAAAGGGAACAAATCTTTATAGCAAGGATCACTCCCACTCCCTCAGTACACAGGGTTGACAGGGATGGGCAACTTAGACATTAGCTACCCCTAGTGGGGGGGCCTATAAAGACAAGAAGTGACTGGCTTACAAGCTTTCAAGAGGGAACCTAGTTCCAGATGAGGCAGGGGAAGGTAGAATCACCACTGAATGATTTCCAATCCATTGGGACTGGGCTGGCGAAAGGAAATGGGGATAAGACTCTTGTGGTACAATAGTGAATAATTGCCATCAGGATTGACTGTAAGGCTAGGGGATATAGAGGTAGATGTTTTTTGACAAAAGGAGGAGAGTGATTGATTTTGCATCCCAGGAGTGGAAGTCCCTGGGACCATCAAGTGAGAAGAATGGAAATCGGGACCCTACCCAGAGAAGCAGTTACCCCAGAAATAGAGTCAGAGAAGATGAGGTAGACAGATGGAGCAGCTGGGGACACTGGACTCAGGGCGGGAGAAGGTCTGTGTGCTGGTGGGAGTTGGGGGGCTTTATGGTGAACCCTTTGGGGTTATATGCTGATGCATGGAGAGAACTGTAATCATTGCAATGAAATGAAATATGATAGGATGAGTGTAAAGCTGATGTTCTCCCATGTAAACCTCACAATAAAAACTTAAAAAAACACACCCTATGGAGCACAGTTCTACTCTGACATACATGTTTCCTATGGAGCACGGTTCTACTCTGACATACATGTTTCCTATGGATCACGGTTCTACTCTGACGTATATGTTTCCTATGGAGCACGGTTCTACTCTCACATACATGTTTCCTATGAGGCACAGTTCTACTCTCATATACATGTTTCCTATGATGGAGCACGGTTCTACTCTCACATACATGTTTACTATGGAGCACAATTCTACTCTCACATACATGTTTCTTAGGACTAGGAATCCACTCTACAGCAGCTGGTGGTGGTGTGCAAACTTTAACACACAGGGAGGTACTTTCTGGTCCATTGAGCATTTCTGGTAAGCAGACTGCCCAACCACACCATCTGACTCAAGGCCAGGCCCTATTCTGGAGTGTCCTGGGAATAGCAGCCCCGGCTGTCACATGGACTTCTCGCTCACTCAGCTTGGTCCTTGGAAATGATCCCGGGATGGCAATCTCAGAAACAATGAACCAGAGTTCCACTACTGCGCACGTGCAACACACACATTCACGAAGGGTGCTTTAGCAGACACTGGTGGGGCTGCATCCTAGAAACAATGGAGAAGGTGTTTGCGTTCCTTCTTGCTCACTGTTGTTCCTTCTTTTACTCACATATGTACACCTTCAGTGTTTACCCTGTACTTAACCAGTCACCCTGTGAATTCACAGAAGATGGCCTGCCTACACCAGCCCCCGGGGGGAAAGGCATTCTAATGGTGCTGGTCATGACAACACATGGAGGTGCCCTCTGTAGTGGATGCATCGTGTTAACTTACCACTCCCCACTTGGAATCCTCTTTCCAAGTCCCCTTATCCTAATATTGAGAAAAATACAAACAGTGCTTTTCAGAGGTGGGAGGAGAGAAGTGTGAGTAAGCCAATCAGTGGAGCAGTCCCCTTAGCTGGCCCCAGAAAGCAGCCAGGCATTGCCTCATCACTCTGAGCCATCAGTTGGCTCCCATGGCACTGAGCAGAGCCACCTCTCAGCTAGCAAAACCAGTATCCACAGAAATCTCAGATATCTTTCCTACTCTTTTACCCAGGAAGTATAATAGAAAGCCATCCGAAATTTACTCATGATGTGCTCTACATCTCTGACTCTGTGGATGGGAGATGTCTAACCATCATGACATGGTCTATACTCTGTCTCTGTGGATGGGAGAGATCTAACCATCATGACGTGGTCTAAATTCCGTCCCTGTGGATGGGAGTGGTCTAACCATCATGACATTGTCTACAACTCCATGATTGTGGATGGGAAAGGTCTAACCATCTCCACCTCCTGAGAGAGACCTTTATTTTCAGAGCAGGTGGAAGAGTTGAGCATGTGAACAGGCCCATGGGGCACACAGCCCTCTGGATACAGACCACGATAAAAGCAGAAACACAACAGAAAAACAGGGCGCAAACCAGGTAAAAGAGGGGAAGGAGCTGATTGCTCTCCGTCTGAGTTATCTATGCTTCTCATTTGTACTGACTTTTGAGAAGTTGAAACAGTTTGGGACCAGGGCTCCCCTGAGCATTTCCGAGACCTGCCCCTATACCTCCTTGTCTCGCTTCTAATTCACTTCACTTTAGAATCCTGCATAAAAACCATACAGGATCTCAATACAGATGGTAATAAGCTGAGTACACGCTCAATATACATTCAATTTGAGCATACGCTATTGAGTAGGGAATTAGAAAAGTAATGTTTATCTCCTTGTGTGTGGAAGAAGAGAAGCCAGCAGCTTATGCGGCCTGGCCACATGGAAGACACAAAGGCCTGGGACAGCTGGGATGTTGTATGTGGGGATGAGGGTCATGGAGCACATACTTTATTCTGAGCTCAGCAGTTCTGCTGGGAACTCACTGCCAAGTTGGTGACCCTCAGAGAACTCCATTTCTGAGCCTAGAAAAAAAACAACACAACAGCATACACACACGAGATCAGAACCAGGAAATCATCAGGTCCTTTATTTCTGAATGGTTACCATGCGCTAATAAGGCACATTGGAAGTGTTAGTGTAAAGGCAGGTGGTTAGGAGAAACGAGAAGAGCCACAGCCAATAAGTCCTCTTCCTTAGGGAGAGGTGACGCGGCCACAGAAGAGAATATGCTTTGTCTTGGCATGCTGAATGAAGAAGAGGAAGGGGTGGTCGGCACAGAACTGGGGGGTGATTCTTGCGCAACGAAGCATCATGATGGCAGCCGTGGCTGCCGCTGCCTCTGTGCCTTCCTCATTGACCTCCACGAAGGCCTTGTGCACAACGTTGGATAGATACAGGTTTCCCGTGGATGACATTCCAGAGAAGTCTGCCCTGCCTTGGTCAAAGGCATCGGTCATGCCCAGACTGTAAAGTACGTCCTCCATTTTGTAAGTCTCTTCCAGCTTGAATCGAGGAAGGGAGACTTCTACCTCCACCTCATCCAACATGTCTGGCCTTGTCCACTCCATAAATTTCTCATACGTCAGCTCTTTTTCCACCTGGAAGGAGAGAGGTGAAGAGTTTAAGACCTACAACAGAGCTGCCCAGAAGGACTTTCTTTGACGACTTTAATGCTCTAGACTCGTGCTATCCAATATGGCGGCCACCAGCCAAAGGCAGTGAATGAATGCTTCAAATGTGGGTAGTGCAGACCAGAATTTTTTATTTTATTTAATTTTAGTTTAAATAGCCTTAGGTGGCTATAGCTACTTTACTGGACAGCATAACTCTACAACAAGGCTAAACCCTTCAACCAGAAGATGGTTTCACATTTCTACCCTTGATTTGTCAAACTAGAAATGCAAATCTGTTCTCTGAGATAGAAGCGTAGAACTCGACACAGGTTCGATGCCATTTGTGAGTGAACTGTGGTTCTGTAAAGTTGCTTTATTGAAGGCATGGTAAGGTGACAATCTCTTACACTCGGCCTCCTTCCAGTGAATCCACCCACGTCATGTTAATTTAACTTCCTGAATCTCTCTCCACTCTCGCCGTTCCTCTGTCCTCACTGCTACAGCCTTAGTCAGCTTTGCCACAGCAGCTCCTGTCTGATCTAGCCCTTTGTCTTTCTGGCAGTTCATCCATCACAGGTGTAAGGATTACCTTTCTAAAAAAGCAAAATACTCTTTCACTTACCCATCAGTGACTATAACCTTCATACTCAGAATGAGGTCCAGGGCAGAGCAGCCTCAGCCTCATCTGGGAGCTTCAGTGACTGCATTTATCACAAGATCCCCATGTGATTCAGATTAGTGACAGAGGCATTCCAGAGATGTCTGCCCTGAATGTCAGAGTTAGAATATCTCTACCACAAAAATGTTTCCTGCAGGGCAAAGCTGAAACCACCTAGCAAGGTTGGGAAGAAGACTGAGTGCCTAAGGAAAGGAGACAGGCTTGCAGAATGTGCCCTTTGGGCATTTATGGACTGACTTTTAAAAGAGCTTTGTAGCATGGGTTCTAGCAGAGCAGAGGCCAAGGGACCTCAAGGCTGAGAGGCCAAAGAAAAGAGTGAGGCCTGAGAGCAGTGTGGCAGACAAGAGGTGTTTCCTGACTAGAGAACTACTAAGTCCTGAGTTGGGTTTGATCCTGAATGGTACCCTGCTGTCTTTCCTAATAAACCCCATTGCAATGGATTATTGAGCCCAGATGTGAAGCAGAGAGAGCTGGAAGAGGTGACTGGCTCTTATTCTTTCCCTGCAATTTATTATGTTCACTTTCCTCTGTGTCTGGGAATCTCTCCATGTCAGTGATCACAGCTCTATTGAACCTTAAGGCTGCGTAAGAAATACCCAGTTGGGACATTTCACAATGTACTTACTCATTCCCATACAGACATAATGTACTCTTAATACGTTTACCATTATAGACAATGCTGTGCTAAACACCCTGTGCATCTCTGCAAACCTGTACCACCATCCTGCAGGGCAGAGAGTCACCTGTGGGGCTGCTAGGCCAAAGCGTGCGCACCTGGAAATCTTTCACAGAAACTGCTAACTTGCTCTCTCAAGAAGCTGTGCCAACTGACATTCTAATCACGTATAATGAAAGCTCTTGTCTCCTTATTCTCACTAATAACAGACATGACCTACCTTTGTAATTTGACAGCCTGAGAAGTGGAAAATGGTTTTGGATTGTTTTTAACTTGCATTACTTTGAAGGTTATTTATTTTCATAAGTTTGCTGGACTTCTGGTTTTTTTTTTTTATGAACTTCTATACAAAGTTTTCTACTTACTCTTTTTTCTTCTTTAATTGTAAAAGTTCTTTACATATGTATGGGCAGTAGGCTTCTGTCTAGGTCTGTCTTATATACACGATGCTGATAGGGACCTTATATGTTAGCAACAGTTTCCTTTGACCTGGGGCCCTCCTTGCCCATGCCCTCTCTGCCCTGAACTTGAAGGGGTCTGTGATTTGTTTCATTAAGAAAAAGCATTCACATGGGACCCTATCCAGAGAAGCAGTGACACCAGAGATGAAGGCAGAGATAATGACATGGAGAGATAGAACAGCTGAGGACTCTAGACTCATGGAAGGAGAAAGACTGTGTGCTGGCAGCCAGGAGGCAAGCTTGCAGAATGTGCCCTTGGGTTGTTTAAATGATTACATATTCCTCAGTGGTTTTATGTCCATCCTCCTCTCCCCCCAACCCCCACACAAAAAAACAGAGGGAATGGAAGCAAATACTGTTGAATGACAATGCACAGAAGAGACTGTATTCATTGCAATGAAACAATGGTGTAAAACCAATGTTCTTCCATGTAAACTATCACTGAATTCACAATAAAAACTTAGAAAAAATATAATAAGTAGGAGAGGGATTACACCCGAAATCCAAATGCCATTGTCCCACCATATTAGCGTGATGCGACCGGCACAGATGGCGCATTACTGTGCGTTCGTTACCGTGCTCAAGGCGGTGTTTTCATTCGGAAGCATGATGATCATGTTCAGCTCCTTGTTGACATAGGGAAGCACTAAGATATTGGTGAAGATTTCTCCTATGTAGGTCATTTGAAAAGTAGATTTCTTAAACATCATTTGCACAGGCTTCTTCTCGTTCTGTGAAGAAAGGGATAAAAGTTGCACTGAAATGTGGTCCAGCTGACACACATTGAACATCTTCAACAGACTTGGCCACTCTTGGCCCCTGGAACCTCTTTTCTGCCTCTGCTCCCAGAATCCTAGGTCAGCTACCTCCTTTGCTACTTTCTCTTCATTACCTTCACCATCAAGCCCTGGGGGCCCAGGGCTCAATCCTCAAACTTCCTTTCTCTGGGGATCTCATCCAGGCTCTTGACTTTAAATATTCACTCTCGAGCCCAACTTCATTCCTGCACTTCGGACTCCTAGATATTACTGCCTAGTTGTCCCCAATATGGGTAGGGAGGACTCTCCACTGGAACAAGAAGAGCCCTAAAGTTTGCCAGTGAGAAACAAGACAGTGCATTCCCCAAAACAACTTGCAAGAAGGCATGAATTCTTGAGAAACTGCAAGTTCAGGCTCCAGTCTTCCTGGGAGATTTAACTCATGGTCAATGATCAAGAACAGACTATATGACTAAACTATTTGGTATACTTTTTTTCAATGTAGTTTTCTTTTGGTTTTATTTATTTTTTTCCCTCCAAATAGTCCCTTGCTTTATGTATTT